TATACTTCCATATATTTGTCCCTTTCGGCTTTAAATTATATCTGATGTAAAACCATCCACTTAACATACAAATTGGGGTAGGGTATCATAAAGTTGGCCCCGCCCGATTTTGCGTATTTCTTTATAGGCTTGTGTAGAAGTTGTGGCTTCATTATCGATCAGGCCTAAACAAAAACGGTTACAATGTCAAAAACTAGCCAAATAGCTATACTCTGAGCTTAATAGCTGATAGTGTGAACTTCAGCCATGACTACGAATGTTAAATAGCAGTTCCACTGTAAGTCTAAGGTTAATTCTAATAGGCGCAGGCTTTTAAACCCTGTCTCTCCCCCTTTCCCTTGATCACTTTCCATTTAAAATACTATACCCTTTTAGTACATCCAATTTAGTAAATAATAGTATCCAATTATTGTCCCCATCGTCTGCGAAATTCACTCATTTAATTGCCTGAAATTTCATTTCAAAATAACTGAAACAAAATTCACACATAATTGCTTATGGCATTCATTTCGAGTGGTATTTAATGTGTTTGCACACATGTGAGTGTGTGTGAGCATGTGCGTTAGTGTGTGTGTGGGTGGTTAGCATTTAGTTTCTCAAATATTTACATTGCCAAAAATCCATGCATAAATTTTATTTTAAATCAACAATTGAATAGAGCCATTCTAATATTGACCCATAATGTTTTTGGTAGCATCCACAAAAAAGGAAGGAAACTGCATTTATTTATGTGTATATTCATACATGACACGTTTACATGTACATGTGTATGTGCGTGTGTGTGTAAGGAAGGCATTGTCAAACGGATAGTGCAGTGAATTGAATTGACAGTTTTGTAAATGAACAAAAACGCACGTTCCAACAAATCCTTGCTGTCGGTGTCTGCGTGTGTGTGTGTTTTTTCCTTAATAGGCACAACAAATACATTTGTATTCCACACAAATTGAACTTAACAATGTTACACACCAGATTCCTGAAAAATACACTCACTCTCTCCCACCCTCTCTCCCTCCCTCTCTCTTTGCAGGCAGAATGCGAAATGTAGTAGTAACTAAACATCAACATCATTCCTTTTATGCAATTCTAATAAAAAAAACAAGACTCAGACCATTACAATCAATAAGGATCAAATTCAATCTACCACTACCACTAACACACACTCACACACAAAACATTCTCTTCTAACTGCAGCAGTGAAATTTTGTATGTTTGCTTGTGTCTGTGTCCAACATTTAATTTAGTCCATATATTGGAATTTTCTATACAATTCCAAGCTGGCGTTCAAAGAGGGAGGATTCGTTTGCCATGCATTTTAAATAAATAATGGGAGAACAATTATTTATAGACTATATTTGCAATTTGTTTGCAAGGTTTTTTTAATAAATGCCAAGAATTTTAGTTATGATTTGAACGTAAAAAGTATTGAGCAGAGAAATGTTTGTAAATAGTTCATAAAATAAGTAGAACATTTTCAAAAAACCTTCCGAATGTCAAATATTATCTAAGAATGTACATTTTTAATATAAAACGCAATGGGCATGGCTTTATAGGTTTTATTTTCAAGTATACTCTGTTTAATTAGGGACACATGGTACCTAATATTCAGGAAGAAATCCTGTACTACAGAAATTCATTTTTATTCATATCGATTTGGATTATACATTTATTGGAATCACATGAAAACCGATTATATAAACTATTGTTATCGCCGATAAAACAGGTTAGCGTTATATGGTTTCATCCCCAAGTCGGGACTTACATTCAATATTCCTGTTTTTATCAAATGAAATTTTGTAAAAATTCGGGTGGTACTTTCACTTTTATGACACCGAAAATAAAGTGACACCGAAAAGAAATGGTTATGTCTTTTGCGGTTTTTTGTAACCATTCTTGGGTAGTGCGCACTGAGTGTGATGGTGCTGAGTTCTATTGGAATGTTCAAGGTCTGTGGCCAAAATGTTTGCGTGCCCAAGGCTTTAATACACCCTTCAGAATATTTTCGCTATAATATTCGGCATTTATTCTGTTGCCACGATCGATTACTACGAGCGGAGAGCGACCATCGTTTGTTATGGCGGCCCACAACATCACCAAGGCCCGCGCTTGAGTTCTGGTGGCCAACCGAAGGTGCACATTTTCTAAGAATGTGTGTAAAAACTGGTACTTGTAGTTCTTAATGGGTTTTCGCTCCAATGGCAGAACATTGAATATCTAGGTCCACGTTTTCCTATAGCGCACATATAAAGGTTTCAGCGGATATTCGGCATTTTCACGTTGTAATCCACATTCTCTAATAGATTTGTGTGAAATTTGGTATTTGTACTTGAGTTCTACAACTGGCCTCAAAACAATGTCCATATTGGTCTCACGAAATTATGTAAAATTTGGTATTTAAGACTCGAATGGATCGTTGTTGTATGAAATTGTCCTCCGTTTTAGAATGGCCCCCATATTACGGCTCCAACCATTCTCCTACCGATCTTACTGGATCACGTTTGAATCCAGATACTTTTGCATAAAAATGTTTTCTTTGCCCAATGGTGGGGGGTATTAGAAGTTCAGCCCAGCCGAACTTCAAGTCTTTTTACTTGTTAGCAAAATGCAATATTTGTTAACCAAAAATATAGATATCTCCTCAAAATTTGTGATTTGTAGACATTATTATATTTAAAACAATAAATGCGCAAATGAACGAAATAAAACAGTTCAGGGGTACGTTAAGAGGCTTTAAGAGAACTGGGCCTTCTTAGAAATTATTTGTTAGATAATTACAAATACAAACTGTGAGAAAATTCCGTTGAAAATTGTGGCTAATATCATCCAAATATCTCACCTTAGACCTATACGGAAAGTTCTTCGCAATGATTCTTTCATTCAACTGGGCACACATACTGCTGATTTACAGTTAATGTGGTTGCTGAAACGTTTTACGATGCCTACACTAAGTCTTGTACCTACGCGACCCACTTTCAACACCAAAAATTTGGTAGACCCGAATATACATTTGAGTAGGACTTTGATAAATCTATGTAGAATCCAATGCTGGTCAAGAATATATATACTTTCTGCGGTCCTTAAACAAGAAGTTTAAAACGAAAAGACAATTTTATTATACTCACCATAGTATGTTGGAATAAATGCCAAAATATTTAAATGTTTTAAATCTGTTTCTTTACCAATTCAGACTCCGATTCCATCAAATTTATATTCCTGTAAAACCCAATCCATTTCAGACTAAATTCAACAGCATTGGAAAAATTCCCATAGTATGGATTAACTAATGAATGGACTGAGAGACAATATGTACTTAACCTTATGAGTTGTGATACTACTCTCTTAGCCCAACAAGCTCGCATGCATTTGAACTTTTGTCTTCGTGACACTGGCTGAAATCTTAGCTCTTAGTTCTTTCTTTCTCTCTATCCTAACCGAATACATCCAATCACTTGGATAAATGCAATCACATAATGTCGCACATAAATAGCATTTTAAAGAGCCATTCAGCTGGATGAGCAACGGAGACACAGGTATTGTGATTGCATGGTTTCGTGACATGATTGCAGTCGACCTTTTCAGCATCAATGTGGTCAGAAGACAATTTTAATTAACTCAACAACCGATACAAACCAGGCCAATATAATACCAAAACGAACGAAATCTCACAGTATGTCAGCAAACACGCACACAAACACACACACACACATACACTTGCTGACATTTGTTAACACGGACACAATAGAATGAGATTGAAATTAGTTCATGGACTGTTGTTCTTAAATCGACATTAATATTTTAAATTGTTGTAGTTGATGATAATGCAGTCCAGTGACCCACAATAAAACAGCATCCCCAACAACAGAAACAACAAGCTACAAATCCATATGTACGAACGTGTATGTGTTCGCACACACACACACACACACATTCGTGTATGGCACAGATTATTTTGTTCCCACCATAATCATTTTCACTAAATACCCGATGTTATTGGGCCAAACAAGCAAACGTACAACGAATGCCGTCCAAGCATATAAATTCTTAAAGCACGGCAGCAACAACAACAACCGACAAATAAATAAAATCTATTTAACCGACCAACAATGGACTCAACCATTTACATACTCCAATGTAACAATGGACTCGGTAAGCGATGGCTGGCCATTTCTCTTTCACACTAAACTACTCGACTCGCATCGACTCTGTGGAGCAAAATTTATCTGCAGGCCATATCATTGGTGGACCCCGGTAATACTGTACCGTATGACCAGTTACTGGTCCATCCGTCCGTCCGTCCGTCCGTCCAAATATGTTCTGCTGCCCATTCAAAATTTACGACGAGGAGTACATGTTTAATTAAATTTTTCCCTCCGTATAATAATACAAAATAGAATTGAGAACAATTGTTGTTGAACACAGCGATTCACACGCAAACAAACAATCGCACACACACACACACACACAGTCGCACAAACGCCTAGTGAATAAAAATACAAATAAATGAATGGGACACAAACAAAATGGTTTGGGTGGGTGGTGCAACAACGCACGCATTCCAAGCCAAATCCGAGAGGGGGGATGTTGAGTTGGATTGAAGCTGCTAGCCAGCAAAAGCTAGGGGAAGAAATCACTTAAATGCAAAATTATTTATTAGCTTCAATAAATATTTAACGCTTTTATAAGTACGTGCAATGCAACTTAATTTAACAGCCAAACATCCCAAACAACAGCAAACACTATTGGCGGCCATTTATTTCTGGCCTATTTATATTAACAACGCTTGAGAAATAATTAACATGTGTGATAACATAATTTTCCTCCGGTACGGCTATTTTATGTTGTGCGAGCCGTTTTCGGTCACGTTTTTCGGTGGGGTGGGGTTACAAATGGACACCGATGTCAAGGGGAGAGGTGTATGGAAACTCTAATGTAATTTTTATAGCCTAAGATAATCTTTAAGTAATTAAAATAATTTTTCTGCTTTCTTCCTCTTCTCCTTTCAGACAACTTTTATCGCCGAATTTAATACAGAAACACTATCACTCTAGCGGTTATTTAGTAGATGGCAATCGTCATGTAAGTATCAATGATAACATAAATTATCCATTAATAGTAGAACACGTTTTCATTTGTTAAATAATTAATTTTCAATTGCTCGGAAATGTGATAAAATGGGCACACCTGAGTAGGAATCGTAGGGAAAGCGTTGGGTGTTTAGAGGAAACTTCCTGTAGAACTGAGAACAAGTGGAATCTCAATTAAACACATAACTTCGTAATAAAGATTACTTCCCAAAGAAGAACCATTATAAACCATCATGTACACCAAACATGCCTAATGGTCCTTTCTTTGACCCTCTGGCTTTCTTTTTCACTGCAAATTTCAAATCGTAAAACTCGACTCAAGAAAAAAGTACACAATTAAATCATAAACATACGATTTTTGCCTTAAGACCGCAAAACCTCAAAATTATATTTTTTCCTATTTTTGCTTAAATTTTTAAAGTCAAAATTGCTTTGAAATAGTTTTTCTAAATCAGAAATAACAATATTTTCAATATTTTATTTAGCCAGATCTTATTAGTATCGGGCCTCAGCTTTATTTCAGTGTTATTTGATCTGCCCAAAATGAAAAATGATCCTTTAAAGCAATTTTGTTTCATTTTCATTGGATCTAGTGATTTCCTAATCTTTTCTGCATGAATTCGAAAATGGACTTATTTGTAAATTGGATACCTTGGGATACTAAGTTCTAAATTTCTTAAAACATCACAAAAGTTCCACAAATATTGCAAGCAAGTCCAATGATATGATAGATCGGTATCCTCTTATAACATTGAAAATGTTTGAAAAAATAACATGTTAAATAAGACTCTCATCGTGTGTAAATGTGGAATATACAGGGTGAGATAAAAAAACTGCAACAAAGTCAAGCGCCATATGTGAATTTCGGAAATAGGATCAAAATTTTGAATAAGTTTAGATTTGTTCTAAGTGGTCACCTTTGGCCCGAATTATGGCCATCAAACAGTCAATGAAACCGTCACACCCTGCCCGAATGTTGCTCTGCGGTATTTTGGGTCATTCCCGGCTAAGCGCTTGCTTGAGGTGATGGACACTTTGGTATTATTTATTGCCAACCTTGCTTTCCTGCAGGCACAATAATCCAACGGTTTGGTATCCGGAGATTTTGGTGGGCAATGTGTGCTGGAAATGAAGCGAGCAACCTAATTTTTTAACCATTCTTGGGTGGCGCGTGCAGAGTTGAAATGTCCAAGGTCTGCGGCCAAAATGTTTGCGTGCCCAAAATCTTTGCCTCCAGAATATTTTCGCGATAAAATTCAGCATTTATTTTGATGCCACTGTCGGATGTTATGGCGACCCACACCATCATCGTGGCCGGTGCTTGAGTTCTGGTGGCCATCCGAAGGTGCACATTTTCAGCTGACCACTTTGGCAAGTAAACACGATCATTTTGTTCGTTTACAAACTGCTGAACAACGAATGTTTTCTCATCGGAGAAAACCAAATTCGGCAGTTCACCACTTTCGGCCAAGCGAAACAACTCTTTAGCTCTTTTGAGTCCATTTTCTTGCTGTTGCGGTGTAAGTTCTTGCACTTTTTGGAATTTCATTGGCTTTACCCCGAGCTCATTTTTCCATATTTGTCGAATGGAATATTGCGATATTTTCAGTTCACGAGCCATTTCTCTGCCACTGCGATGCGGGTTTCGATCAAGTAGCTTCTTTACTTTTCGACCCATTTCTGCTGATGTTGCTATTTTCTTCCGTCCACTTCCTTGACGTCGGGCTACGCTACCAATATCACGGTAACGAGCGATGTTACGAGACACAAAAGATTTATTCACATTGAAATGCTCCACTCCACCTCAACAGAAAGTCAAACTGAATTTCAATATTTTTCTGATTTGGAATATGTGAACTCAATGTGAATCCCGCCAAATATTTCGAGGTGTCAAAAAAATAGATCTAGTAATATCTATTTTATTCACAAATAATTTTGATCAATAACTAAAAATGGATATTTTACGAATCGGCAAACAACAACAATTTTTTTTCAGCGAATTTACAAGTCTCTTCTCTTGGGAACAAAACAGACAAGTGATTTTAATGTTTCAAATGGGAAATAAGTGGCAAACAGTACTCGTGGATAAAAGTGGCACGTAGCAAACTTTTTCTTTTTGGGCTAAATAAGCCAACACTTCATAGGCATTTGTTTGGCTAACTTTCAAAATTGAGAACCGCAGGTGTAGAAACATTTCACTTCAATAAGTGAATAATATTGGACGTGGCTTTTTTAAGAAAAATCAATCGCTCGTCTAATTTTGCTTACATAAAATAATTCAATTCAACAGTTTAATATTTAATGCATCTTTCATTTCTCTTTTCAGGATATTGAACATTGTTATTACCATGGAACGGTTAAAGATTATCCCGGTGCCAGTGCAGCCTTTCACACATGCAACGGTGTTAGCGGGGTCATACACATAGGCAATGAAACATTTGTGATACATCCCTTCTATGGAGGTGATCTATCGGTAAGTAATTGAAGAAGAATGCCATGACATATGTTAACTCACACACACGCACACATATGCACATTTGGCAGAAATGTGTGTTGTTTGCCCCTTTCTTGTCATACCCACACTCCTGCCAAACAAAAACAAAGAGGCGAACAGAAATTTATGTGGTGCCAAACGAAATTCACGATTCAACACTTTCAAAACTTTTTACTACCAACACCTTACAATACGTTTCCAACTCAGAAACAAACAACAACGAGAAATTTGAAGCATCCATTCCAAAACTGTCCCAAATACAACCGTCGGTGTATTAGCCCCAGAAGCATTCCAACCATCCAATCAGCCATGCATTACAACACCCACAATCCTTTTTTCTGCTACTCGCTTCATCGACTAGCAAAAAAACAATCAAATATTTCGATTATAACGTACGAATGGTTTTGAGTACAAATAAAATTCGTTTTTACAAAACGAGAAGAAGAAGAACAAAAAACTCCAGCCATGGGATGGGGGGGGCGAAAAGGAACGAAACCTTGCCAGGACGAACAAAGCCATATAAATATGAGAACTTATGATTTTTCTTTGCCTCCGTTTGCTGTTTTCTTGTTCTCAGTTTGTCGTTCCACCACCCCTTCGACTCCTTCTATAATTTGGCCCATTTATTTGAATTTCCTATTCAAACCTATGCTGGTGCTCTTAACTCAACGCCACCACCACCGTAGTAGCTAAAGTCGGAGGCAGTGGCAGCAATTTAGATTTATGGCAGCAAACGTTTATATTGATTTTCATTGCTGCCACCAACCACGAACATTTCGCCATAAATCTCTAAAATATGGAAACCCGACGGAATAAATATTAATCGGTGTTCAGAAAAACATGGGCAAATGTGGAAGAGAAAAAAATGGAAACTGATGAATAGGATGCTCAAAAATGCTGATTGAGTTAGTTTGGCTAGAGAAAAATGAAAACGTAAGAGGCAGTAACACCCCACTTGGAACAGGTGTCTGGATGAACTGAACTGTAGTTCGTCTGCCAATGTAAATGCCATACATCTAAACATTTCCATACATTTGAGGAAAAACGAAATCACATCGACTTACACACATATTCACACTCAGACCCATTCTCACGTTTACGTGTATAAGTGTTGGCCCATTATTATTGCCCTCATTTGAAATTCGATTCTGTCGACGACCTTATCTCGTCCATAAATGTCATCATCATATTTTTCAGCACAGCTGTTCGAGGGTAGTATGAGAAATGTAAATCAGACAGAATCGTGAGTGCTACGATGGACACTCCAGGGGGAGGGGGGAATTTCTTGAGAAAGTTATAGATTGAGGAAACATTAAAAGTTTTCAGAGACAATTATTCAAACAGGACACTTTTCGAACAGTATTTAAAAACTCAAATAGATTTGTATTATTATTCCCTGAAATTCATATTAATAAAGCAAAAATTAAAGAAATGTAATTGACGACGAAATGGCTGAATCTAGAAATTGGTATTTTTGGTGACGGTCACTCTGAAATTTTCTGTTATCAGTTTATTTAGGTTTTAGACTGTTGTAAACGTCATATATTTGTATCAAACGTGGAAAAATTATAAAACGTCATAAACTTCTAAAATACCGTAATATACCACATAATACATCCAAACTTGGTTCATAAACGTTTAGGTCGTATTATTGAAACCTCGTTGATCTTAATGAGGATAGTTTCCTTGTGTAAGTCTTCCAAATCTGTCAAAGGACATAAAACCTCAAGCTGGAGTTCTATTTTAAAGACATAAAATGAAAATGCATATTACCCTTTAATGTCTCGATCAGGCCGACGACATGCCAAAAATGAATTAGCAAATTTAAAGAAGTACATTGTTCTGCTATGGCAAAAAAATTGCGGTCAACTGCGGAGAAAAGACTTACATATTTTTTCACTTTTTCCAGCAGGTTTTTGTCAAAAACTCTTATTATTTGGTAGGTTCACGACTTTTTCGGCGTATGTATAACACGTCGGAAAAGTATGTCATATACGTCAGAATTTCTGACAGACCATCCCTCTTGCTCCGATGGGGTCAGGTAGGGCCGAGTTTTTGGAAATTCGCACAATAAGTGTACGAAAAGTACTAAAATGGTAACATTTGGTAACATTTCGTATCATGCGAACGGTTAGAGCTAATATTTGAAATTTGGAATGGGAATCAAGATCAAGTCGATGTAAAGAGGTAGTTTTACGGTACTAAATTTGAAATTAACATTACTATCGAAGTATAGAATTGGGATATGGAGGAAGTTTTCAAAATGTGTATATGTGCACAAAGAGCATTAGATGGTACTAAATTTGGAATATTTTCGATTTGGGTAAACCGATAGAGCTGAGATCTAAGACTGCTATTGCGTTCTAGGACTTAGGAAAGTAGATAGTTTTGGAAATTTGTACTTATGTGTACTAAAAAGCACAAAATTTGGTACAATTCAAATGTTGGGAGAACCAATAGAATTGGAATCCTGAAATTTGGAAGTAGGAATTAGTTTTGGAAAATTGTTCTTTTGTGTTCTAAATTTGGTACAACCTAAATTTTGGATGAACCGGTAGAGTTGGAGTCCTGAAATTTGAATTTGATTTCTATTGGACTGTACTATTATTATGAAAATTTGTACTTGAGTGTAATTAATGGTATTAAATTTGGTACAATTTGGATTTGGGTGAACAAATAGAGCTGGTATCCTGACAATTGTATATAAGATTACTGTCGGAGTGTAGAATTTGGAAATGCTGATAGTTTTTGAAATAAACATGTAATAAAATTCACTAAATAAAGTAAAATTTGTATGTGGGTGAAGCAACAGGGTGGAATGTATGCGTCCGTATGCGACAATTTACATTTTGTGTATTTTAAGAGTGCTATTATACACCAATTTTTTTTTTAAACCCCATACATGTTATACACAAGTAGACATATACGACACTCATATGTTATCTTGAGTCGGAAATATACGTTTAAAAGCCTTATTTTGACAATTAAATTTTTTACCGTATTAAATGGCCCCCTGTAGTCAAAATGCTGAAAACTAATTACAACCAACATATCTAAAATTTTTACTTCGCTTTATTGCTTCTTTATCATACATTGAGCCTTTAAATAAGCTTCAAAAAATCTCTCTTCAAAATATTTGATTTTCTTTTAACCAATTTTAAAGATTTTCGACATACCAAGAATTTTATGAAAATTATCTTTAGTTGCCCAGTAGTGAAAATATTGTTTAGTGCAAAAGATAAGTTCACCATTCACCACAACTTCAAAGATTGTCAACCCTCGTTGTTTTTTTACCAAACACGGGAAAACTTTGATATTTTCATTTTCACAATCATCACCATCATGCTTATATGCAGAACGGTAAAAGTTATAGAAAATCCATGTGGACATCTTTTTTCCAAACATCGAACGGTTAAAGATACTTGAAATCTTCACATGGAAAAAAGAACACACGAAAATAACGTTTTATTCCTTTGTTGATGGTGTGGGTGTGTGTGTGTGCGAGTCTGTGTTGGTGTGTGTACGTGTGACTTTATCTGGTTTTTGTCAACTAAGGTAGACGATTTTATTGTTATGGTCTGGCTTTTATTGGAAATCGCAATGAAACAAGGGGTGAATGTGGCCCCTTTTGTTGCCGCCACAGCCCAGGAGTGCCTTAAGAATAAAACTAAGCCATGATTGTCATGATTATTATAACTGAACTGGAATGATGACAAAAGATTAGGGAACTAATAAAACAAAAGTGGAAAACTAAATCACTGTAAAGAGATTTAACGGTGATACTTTCCCAAAACGCCCCTACAAAGCCCCAAGAATGACACTTCCAACTTATCCTTATCAAAAAACAAAAGCAGAAAACATAAAACCAGAACCAAAACCAAAACTAAGAAACATCAGATACCAAACGTACAGAAATATACCTGGATGGGTGGCAATGGTTAAACGGATTTTCCTCAGAATTCGTCTACACAATCAACAGCATTGCAAGTGCTCACAAGGGTCGCTAAAATGTTGTCATTGTTTTGAAATTCGATTTGATTATTTTCAATTGGATTCGAACCCCTTCTCAGCTCACGCGGGGAGTAGGGGTGGATAACAATGACACGGGTTGGAAATATGTACGTGTCGCCATGGCAACAACCGGTATCAAATCAGAGCGCTATCAACGAAATTGAAATTGTTTGTGTGCCTTGATTTTAATTGCTTCAATCAAGTTTATTAATTAGGTTTTATTAAAAGCGAATGGCGGATGGAGAGGCGTGTCGTCGTCAGCAGCGACATTCCCCCCCTCATAATGCTAATTGAAAAACTAAATCGAATCGAAGGTCAATTATGGAAAATTCTGACAACTCTTCATGGTTACCCCAACGGAGAGCAATGAGATTTCAGCAGAATGGACGACATTCGAAATATGAAATGCAGCCAACAACAATGCCTCTCATTGTAGAGCCTAATTTAAACGGAAATAACCCCATTTGAAATCATTTCCACAATAGGGAAAAAATAATTTCGGAAAAACTAATCACCTAAAAATTGATCAATGAGTTCGCTGTTAGTCAGGCCAAGCGGAACACAATACCCTCCGCCCACAAATGTCAATTTCAGTCATGTAAAAATTTCAGGAAACAGTAGCTTAAAAAATCAGCATTTCGGCTAATGAAAAACGTTTTTGTTTTAATTAACACATTTTGTTTAATAACAACCCACGCTGAGTTGAAGGTCCCCGAGAAACACCAACAAAAAAAGACTTATTAATCCTTTGACAAAATCATGATAGCGTTTCAAAAACACAGCAACAACTCCAGCAAAGGTTGTCGCTGACATCATGGTATGTGTTCTTGTATGTTGGTTGGTGTGTGTGTGTGTGTGTGTGTGTGTATGCGTCTGTTTGTGTTTGAGTGTGTGGGTGCCATTGAAAAACCATAAGATTTTTTAATTAACTTTTTCTAACATTATATTCAAATAAAATGCCCTCTCCT